TTTTTTTTTTTTTTTTCTTTTTTTTTTTTTTTAGTTTAGCTATAGAAAAAAAGTTACCCTGGCTTTTTACAAGAACAAACCAAGGCACAGAGCCCTACATGTGGGAGATTTGCCAGGGAAGAGCTTGCTGCCCCAAAATCTTCTGCATGCGTTGGACACTTTTGCAATTCAAATGAGAATGTATTTGGGAACCAGAAATGATGTCAGTAGAAGTTGAACTGTGTAGTGTATTACAACTGGTCTTTTAATATCTCATATAGGTAGCCCTGGTTCTTGCCAAGGAGTTTGTAAGAGGCATATGTACACTAAGTATATATTTGAATTTTAGGATTTCGAGTGAGTTAGTCATATTGCAGTATCCAGAGCCAAGACACAGTGGGGGTTATGAATTCTCAATAATCAAGAATGAGATATATTGCTAGGTCAGGAGATTTTCTACAGGAGATCTTCTACCCCAGGCTAGTTACACTAGAAGGTATGAATTTAATTTCTCTCTACTGCTTCTTGGTTTAGGTTACCATGATGGACACATTGTAATACGGTGGTTCTGGGCAGCAGTGGAGAGGTTTAACAATGAACAGAGACTCCGGTTGTTGCAGTTTGTTACTGGAACTTCAAGTGTGCCATATGAGGGCTTTGCAGCTCTCCGAGGAAGCAACGGGCTTCGGCGTTTCTGTATAGAGAAATGGGGGAAAATAACCTCCCTTCCACGGTACGTCCCAACTGCAGTACAAAAACAGAGGTTCTGTTCTGTAGAGCCTGTGCTTGGTTGCATTTGACTAACTGAAATGATGAATCTCTACGAACATCATAAAACAACGAAGAAATAATTACCAGTTTGTTCTGCATTTACATTCAGAGATAAGTCTTTTATTTGGTTATTTTTTTTTTTTTATTGGCAGTTTCAGTTTAAACTACTTTGAGTCCTGGGAAGTGGTTAAGGTGAAGATACCCAACTATCCAAACCTAGCTACCTTATTTTGATTCTGTATCTGGTCCACTTCAGCAGCTGTCAGCTGATTCTGTTCTTTTTGCTCCCAAAATACTAATAAAAATACTTGTGAAATTATAGAGCCATGAAAGCCAGAATCTACTTCTGCATTTTGGCGAGAACCTGGGTGTAATCTCTTCATTTGCTCTGATGGTTCCACTTCATCATAGGAAAGCTTAGTGGAGGAACTTCAAACTGTGTGGTGATCACACTCAGCTTGGTACATCCAGTTCTGCCAACTAGAATCAAACGAGCTGTGATGTCATACAGTGCCCGCAGACTTCCTAGTGCCGTCCTATGGAGGAGTTGTCTTCCTTTTTAACAGTGAAGGAACTGAGGCACCAAGAGGTGGTCTTACTTAAGGCTACCTGAGAGAGCTGTGCAATAACACTGAGCTTTAAGTTCTGTTCATACCTGTTATCAGCAGCCATCCTTCCCCTGAATGGAGTCACCCTTTCTTGAACGTCCTTACAGTTGCCTGAGGCTGTACCTAGTGTGATTACAGAGCATTTTTCATGGGTCTGCATCTCAGCACCTCTGAGATGAATTTGCTAAGTTTTTAATATAACATTTGCCATCCTGAGGATGCTTTATTCCTGCACTCCAAGATCCTCATTGTCTATTCATATATAAATTATTCTCCTGGAAATGAATTGAAAGCAAAAGCAAACCCCGAAGTACCCAAATATGTTTTGCAGTTTACCTGCCTGCATTCCTCTGGTGACTCCCATCAGGCCAGAGTTACCCAGAATCAGAACAAGTCCTCTGTAGAAAGGTTCCAGACCACCCAGGTAGGGAGGCATTTTCAGAGGGTCCCTTGGGCTTTCAGTCCAAAGGAGGCTAATAACTTTCATGGCACACTGCAAAAATTTGTTCTCATAGACCTGCAGATAAATTCAGACAGTCAATTAACCATGGGTGTGACCCAGTTTTCGGGTTACTTGCCATCCGTGTTGTTTACCCAGCGCCATACTGTGAGGCATGGAATTGAGCAGACCTGCACCTTTTTCCTCTTGAGAGGAAAACTCCAAATCTGCTCATCATCCTAGTCCAAGTCTAAGCATCTTTATGAAGTGGGATCACAAAAGATCTGGACCAGGGCACCATGTCAGTGAATGTTCTGAGCTGACATCTTACATGCACTGCCCCCTAAAATCAGGAAAAGGGAAGGAAGTGTTTTTAAGGCATAATTCATCTCACCTTAACACAGACTTTTAAAATAACTTGGCTGAATCACACCTGTTACGTTCTGATTTATTTCCATTCACCATAAAGACCCTACTGACACTATAGAGAGAGCTAGAAAGCTAAGTGATTTAAAACTGAGATTTAAAAACAGATGGAAATATGTAAGGTCAGTGAGATGGTTTGTGCACTCTGAGCTTCAGCCAGCATTCTGGAAAGCCTGAGAGCTACAGCTTGCTATTCGTAGGCTTGATGCAGCACATGTATGTGGTGTAGTTCTATGTAAGGTCTTTGGAACTGACCAACTGACCAATGCATCCGGCAGCAGCTGAAAGGCAAAGCCTGTGCAGTGTTTCAGCAGAGTGCTCTCTGCTTCCCACAATGGGAAGGGCAGTAGGGGAGGGTGGGAGGACCTTGGCACATGCACAGTAAATACCTTACCCAGCCAGTTCTGAAAAAGTAATTGGCCTCCTTCTGCTCTGCTTAACTTTATTTGTGAACCTAGGCATTACTTATGACCTAGATTCAATTAGCCCTGAGATATTCACATGAACCACTTCATGTTTGTCTACTAATCACTGAAAGAGGCCTCTTTTCCAGGTGAACGTTGTTAGCACCTTTTAGAAGTCTCAGAGCTCTGCATTCATTTTAGCCGGGGGAAAGAGAAACAACACTTGCTCGTGGGGAATGAATACAGCTTGATCACTGTGAATTATTACCTGGATTTTGATAAAATTATGGAGCGCTGCCAAGTACACACAGTGTTAAGAAATATATAAAGCATGCAGGCTAAACTTGGAGACTTTAAATCTTTAGTTAAGCAGCCAAACAAATGTTATTTTAAACTTTTCTTAAACGCCTGATTATGATTTCCTCATGTTTATTTAGATTTACTTACGTATTTACTCAGACTTAGAGGTTAAAAAAAGTCATCTGTCATATCCTGTAGGCCTTTGGCCTCTGTTAAATAGTATGAGTGTAAATAACTTTAGCTGTTTAGAATAAGTGACAGCAAATTCCCTTCTCCTTCAACAATTCCTACAAATTTACAGTGAGGGTTACCTTGTTACACATTTTCAAGGTCCTAGAAAAAAGAACAGCTCTCTCATTTTTAGCAATCATCAGGTTTAGTCATACATGTACTCAAATATGGATTGCACCTCTTAATTACTGGTATTAGTTCTTAGCCCCTGCTCCAATAAATGCAGTGCTGTGTAAGGAGTTAGAGAAGTTGGCACTGAGCTGATGCATTTGGCTTTTCTGCTGTCCGTGTAGATGGTGGGCCACTGAGGACAGGCTGGTCTGGCCCTTGGGTTTTCTGACTTCTCACAAAGTGTTAGATAACTTTTAACTGCTTCAGAAGAGTGTGCCGAGGGAGGTTCAGGTTGGATACTAGGAAAAATTTCTTCTCCAATAACATGGTCATATGCTGGAATGAGCTGCCCAGGGAGGTGGTTGAGTCACCATTCCTCAAGGTATTCAAGAAACATTTAGATGTTGTACTAAGGAACATGGTATGAAGGGCAAATATTGATGGCAGGTGGACGGTTGGGCAAAATGATCTTGGAGATCTTTTCCAACCTGAGTGATTCTATGATTCTGTGTGTCTTCTCACTTCTGCTCCAGAATATGAAGTCTTTAGACAACTCTCCCTTATGTCTTGTCCCTGCACTTTGACAATGGAACGTGCAGTGCAACTGCCACTTGCTTATAGTGAGTGTGATGCTTATAGTGAGCCCCATCCTAGAGGTGTTCAAGGCCAGCATGGATGGGGCCCTGGGCAGCCTGGTCTGGTATTAAATGTGGAAGTTGGTGACCCTGCATGTGGCAGGGGGTTGGAGCCTGATGATCCTTGAGGTCTCTCCCAGCCCTGGACATTCTGTGATTCTGTAATTCTGTAATTCTGCACCTAAGACAGCCACACTGTTGCAACAGCAATGTATCAAACCCAGAATAGACGCATGATGCAAATTTTAGAATGCACTATTTTTCAAAGAATAACCACTAACACGTAAAATGCAGAATGCCTCTTGAAAGCACTGTAGATAAACAAGACTTTTTTCAGAAAGGCTGAGAATCAAGTAACTCCATTCTAAATTTACTGGTGAATTTGTTCATCAATACCAGTTCTCTGACATGAACCAGCCAACAGTGCTGCTATGTACTCATACAAGAGTTAGATTATACTAGTAGTTTATTTCTGGAGGGTGTCTATACCAGCCACATTATTCCTGTCAATATTTATTTCAAGTCCATGCACATAAGAAAGATTGCCCTGGAAATCCTGGATCTCCAGACAATGGCTGACCCTAAAGCAGGTTCCAAGTAGACTGCCAGAATCTGTTGGTGTAAACTTGCATTATGGATTCTTGCAAACTAATATAGTGTATCAGGTGAACTAGCACTAAGTAACAGGTTCAAGCCCTTGTTCTTCAAGGTTGATTTTTATTCTTCCTATTTAATATACAAAGTCTTATCCTGAAATAAAAGAGTTATGTATTTTAATTCTTTTGAATGACTTGGATTTCTCTGATTGATTGAGTAGGGATGAATGGAGATTCTTCCAGCTATAGCTTTTTCTGAAGCAGGAAGCATCTTCTTTCCTGGGACAGGTTGGAGCTATAAATAGGATAAAAGGGAGTTCTGTGCACACGTATTGCTTGTGAACTCTTGTTATTGTAAGGGATTAAAGGAAGTAACAAAAAAAAAAAAGAATGCCAAAAGCTTAAAGCCTTATGCACATAAATGTATAGGGAGAATTCTTCAAAGGAGAGAAACAGCACAGCACTGTGAGCCATGAATGAGATTAAAGATCACAGAATCATAAAATTAGTAAGGTTGGAAAAGACCTCTGAGATCCCCCACTCCATCCATCCACTTATCACCAATATTGACCACTAAACTATGTTCCTAAGTACCACATTTACCCTTTCCTTAAGCACCTCCAGGAACACTGACTCCACCACATCCCTGGGAAACCTGTTTCAATGCCTGACTGCTTTTTGGAGAAGAAATTCTTCCTAAAATCCAACCTGAACCTCCTCTGATGCAACCTGAGGCCATTCTTTCCAGTCCTGTCACTAGTTACACAGGAGAACAGGCTGACCCCCGTCACAGCCTCCTTTCAGGTAGTCATAGAGAGCAATAAGGTCTCCCCTGAGCTTTCTCTTCTCCAGTCTAAACAATCTCAGCTTCTTCACCCACTCCTCGTAAGACTTGTGCTCCAAACCCTTTACCTAGCCTTATTACCTTTCTCTGGACACACTTATATGGTTGGAGGCTTATTTAAGGGAAGAAAGATTTATTTCACTGCAGCGTCTGCTTCTTGCACTGCTGATGTTTTCACCCCAAGATGTGCAGCAATCCCAGTACTACAAAACAGCAAGTGTCCCTGGGTTATGCTTACTGTAATAGCTGCCACTGGGATCAGTCGGAAGTCAGCGTTCAGAAGGAACTTAGCCCTTCGCAGATCCTTTGGAAGGGTTCTTCCACAGTAGTGATCACTACAGCAAATCTTGTCATAGGGGAGAGAATGGATTTTTTTTCTGAGTTTCACTAAGTTAAGAACGACTAGAAGTCAGCAGCTCTGCAAGACTGTTGCTTAAATGATATGAAATGAGTGGATGATGATGTCAAGATGAATGTCCACAAGAAAGTAAACGACAGTGTAGTGATTGTGACTATGTCTGCACCACACATGACAACAATGATGCTTTCACATCATCACTGAGTCACAGAATGGCTGAAGCTGGAAGGGACTTCTGATAATCATCTTGTCCAGCTTCCTTGCTCAAGTAGGGCCACCCAGAGCGCATTAGCCAGGTCTGTTTACAGATGGCTTTTGAATGTCTCCAGGGAAGGAAACTACAGCCTCTCTAGGCAACCTGTGCCAGAGCTCAATCACTCGCTTGGTAAACATGTTTTTCCTCATGTTCAGTCAGAATTTCATGTGTTTTGTACTCACTGCCTCTTATCCTGGCACTGGGCACACTGAGAAGAGTCTGGCCCCATCGTTTCGACACTCTCCCTTCATATACTTACATGCATAAGGTAGAAGTCTCATACAGGCTTTGATCTCAGACAGTTAAATGTGTCATGGTTGAGTACCAGGCAGCAGTAACACCTTAGGCTTAGGGAAGTTACATTGCATAGTCCACAGTCCTGAGCCTTCATGACTGTGCTGCTTCCACTTCTGGAGCCAGGCAGCTGAGCACCTCAGGAACAGCTTTCTGAATGGCACACTCTTCCCATGGAGAACACATCCGTAATGGATTACAAGAATCCTTCAGTTAATTAACTCCCAGTGCTTGATAAGTATTGACAATGGATTGTACAAACAGCTTATGCTGCCAAAGATTGCTGAGATAAACAAACAGTGCAGGGCTACTGATTTAATTTCAAGGGATATATTAAATAATCTTTATTAATGCTCACTTTTCAGTAGCTCTCTTGCGTTCCTAGTTAATAGGTGCAAATTCTGCATTTATTGTGCGCTCTCTGCGAACAAGCAGCTAACAAATCTTCACTTATGACGTAAAAAGGGGATGGTAGAAGCTTTCCTAATTGAAGTTGTGTGATGCAGTGAAGATTACATGCCTCTGGCTATTTCAGTTGCTTTTAATGATTCACCATTGACAAAACTCCCCCTGAATATGCAAGTCTCGGGCCAGCCCATCTACCAATATCTTGTTTTTCACGCTTTGTGGGTGGCCTAAGAGATGATTAGCAGAGTTTTAAATAGTTTCTCTAATATAGCTTTTCTGCTTCAATTTTGAGAAAATGATATTGCAGTAAAGGTGTTACACAGAAAAGCTAAAAGTAAAACAACTTCACAGCTTCTAAAAATACTAGGGATCGGAAGCTTAGACATTATTAGGTGCTGAGGCTGCATTTCCTACTGTAGAGTTTTCTCGATTCAGATTTATCAGAGGGAGCAAGAAGGAGTAGAAGTATATCTAGCATCATGTAAAACTCCCAGCAGACTGAAAATAATAGTGATAATTTTAATGAAAGTGTGCCTGCCCCGTAGCCCCAGTTGATGAATGAGCTCTGTGTTTTTCTGTCAGCTGAAATGGATGAACCACTGGGGTAGGGACACCGTCATTGCTTTGGATTTGTATGGAACCTCATGCAGTGAAGTGCAGTCAGCATCTGAGTCTAATTGCTGCCACCAGTAAAGCTGCAGCAAGGTGGCAGCACGTGTGGAACCCATTCCATGGCTTCCTTTGAAGGTGCTGCCAACGGGGGGTAAATAGAATGACAGAACTGGGAAGAGAGTCCTAGTGTTGGCAACTTGCTCTGCTTTTGCCTTGTCTACTACAAATAAATCACATTTAACAGCCAGGCTTGCAGAGATGTTGACTGTTGACTTACAGGAACATTGTTAGCAGCCTTTCTTATTCTGTTAGCAGATCTCTAAATGATCTCTTACTGGTCAGCTCTGCCTCATTATAGGCACATCCTGAACCCATTCTTTCAGTATACTGGATCATATTATGTCTGTCCATAGGCTCAAAACTTACTAGCTGCTCATGTTAGATGTACAGCTGAGTTGCACTTTTTTTTTTTGAGGGGGGGAAAGCGGGTAACTCAAGGCAACCCAAGCGGTAGTGGAACGTTATCTGTATTAGGGCCTAGATCTCAGCTCCTCAGTGACCTCCGACATTTTTCTACATCAAGATGCCTGCAATATTTAATGCAGGGACAGCAGAGAATGACATTGTGTTTATATTTAACTTGAGTCTTATATTTGAAATGTTCATTTTTATGTGCATATGTATTTCAGTACCTCAGATTTTTGGAGAATCACTGTTTTACTTTAACAGTTGCAATTTTTTTTTTATCTCTCAAGTGAACTTGAGTGTCTTGAGTTTCAATAGGAACTTGTTTTCTCAGTATTTGTTTCCTTTTGTATTTATTTGAATTAAACTCAACGTCTAACATATTTTCCTTCTGCAGGGCACACACATGTTTCAACCGTTTGGATCTTCCACCTTACCCCTCATATTCTATGCTGTATGAGAAGCTGTTGACAGCTGTTGAAGAAACTAGTACCTTCGGACTTGAATGAGGGGGTTCAGGCAATTCTGGTGTTTTTCTGGCTGTTGATGTCATCTTTCCAACATCATTTAATATTGGTTTCCCATGTTTTTATTTTTGAAAATAAAACAAAAAAGAATCAAGATTGACAAAGGCTATGCATGAAGAACTGCCACCCTCCAAGATCTAACCTTCATGCTTTCATCCTGTTTCCTATGGACTGCTAGTCTGTATGCAATAGAAAAACAACTGTCTCAAGGTTTCTGTATATCTCTACATACCTCCATTAATAACAATGAAAATACAAATGCAAGTTACACTACACTTGATCAAATGTTAGTAAATGTTTACTTCCACCTACGTTGATTAAAAAATAAAAAAATAATTAAAAAAAAAAATAAAATCAAGCATTCCAAGCTTTTATATACCCACATTTTCTAAACCAATTTGCAGCCCATCTTACTTCCTAACAGTTGAATACAGTACTAGGAGCTGGTCAAATATATTCTTCATCCATTCTTCTTTTCTCTATACATGTTGTCCATCTCAGAGACACTTATGAACAAAACTGAAATTTTTATATACGAACTCACATCAGTTGCATCAGCTGGACCTGGCCCAGATTCACGGTGCAGATAAGACCTTCAAAAACTCAAAAAGCAGCCTGTGTTTTATGCAAATCCTAACAGTGATTGCTACAATTGTTCCTTGCCAGTGCTGGAGAGAACTTGCACTTCAGAGATATTGGGAGGGGCATCTCTATAGTGTTGTTTACCGCACAAGAAGCACAGGTTTGTGCACACTAAAGAAGGATGTCTTATTATGTAGCATAAAGACCAGGCTCCCTTACCTTAGTATTGTATGCGGCAAGGAAAAGGGGAAATAAGGTGAATGTTCTACTCTTGTGAATACCCTTGGATTCTGTTTACCAGATCTTGGTTCTCTGATGTTTAAAATGCTCCTTTCCAAATGGAAGTTCAGACAATTCCATCCCCTGTGTCAGAAGCCATTTATTGTCTGTCAGACTGGGCTGATCTATGGTTGCTGGGGACAGGTTTTGGTCTTGTCATTTTTTTTTTCTTGTTCAGTGCAAATCTCCATAACCTTGAGAGTGGTTGTAGAATGAAAGTTTTAGTCTAGGATCTATTGAATGAGAAGCTGCAGTGAATGGTGGTGCTAGTAGAGGATGAAGGGTGTAACTCTGTTATGGTTAAAATTTTGTTGTAGTTCCTCTTGGAGTCAACCCAAAAATCCTCCAGCTATGTTAAGTATGACCAAACTTAAGAGCAATCTCTTACTACTTCAGGCAGAACCCACTTCAAATTGATGAACTTTGCATTCCTACTCTGAAACCAGGGAAGAAAAGGAAAACAGCAGTAGGCTTGTTTTTGGAAGGATTTTGCTGAGGCTGTTACAGGAAACATCACTGCTCTGTTGTGTTCTACTTATTAAGATTTGCTGCCCTTGTTTTCCAAGACTGATCTCAACTTGAAAGTGTTTGTCTTAACTGGGAAAAGACAATAGGTATCATTACTTCTTGTGCTAAACATGTGAAAGGATGAATGAAATAGGAAGTGAGACTTGTGAAGGGTGAGTGGAGGTAAGTAAGAAGGAAACCTCATAGTATCTAGCAGTTCACATGAAAAATTGTTACAGTTGTGTGCTAGCTGTGCTTTATGGTAATTAAAACCAGATTACTTCAATGTCTGACACATTCCCATTTTTATCTCCAGACAAAAGAACTGAACCCTGCTTTCTCACGAAATTTAATGGTGGCTGCACAAACTCATCACACTTAAAAAACTGCATTCATAGTTTTGTACCATTCTGCTTTGATTCTTAGGTTAGGAGACATCTGAAAGGTGAGGGAACCCAAAGAATGTTTCTAGGCAGTGGGTCTTATTAGTGATATAGAAAATACTTGGGATATTTAAGTTGCCCCATTCATTCTATTTCTGTAACCCTTCAGCCTCTTTTCTAGTAATTTATTGCATGGCTTTTACTGAGAATGTATTTTAAAATACATGTTTTTCATATTGAGTACAGTTGCATAGGATGCCTTAACTACACGCCACCTTTCTTACACAGACACCAGAAATTATGCCTGTCATTTCCACAAAACTCAAGCATCTACTGCACGTACTCAGCCCCACTGCAGAGTAAAGATGGAGTCTTTTTTTCTGAGAACATCTGTCACATGCACATGATCTACAGAAGGGTGAGTCAAAGCATAAGAGACCAAACGTAATCTTCCAATGCACATTATTTCTGCCTCTTCACCACTGTGCTCCAAAATTCAGTGAGGTCCTGAGTTATTCCTGCTCATATTAATGCAACAGAGCTATCTCTACTTCCTCAAACGTTGGGTGTCTTCCAACAATAGAAGAAAAGGCAGATAAGTATCCAATTGGTTTGGCAAAAGAGAACAGTGCGTGCAGAGCTGTCTCACTGACGTAGCAAAAGAAAAAAAAAATAAAAATTCTTTACAATGCTGTATAGTTATTTTTTTTAGTATTTAAAACTCTATTTTATTAAGAAAAGGTGAAACTATTTTTTGTAGCATAATAAAAGATATTTGTATTTCAGAGGCAGCGTCAAAACCCACTGACTGAAAGAGCAAAAGCTCTTGAGGTTCTTCTTCACAACATATTCTGGCCCTCACCACACACTGAACTCTAAATAAGGTGCTGTGCATCTCCATGTTTGACAAATGCCATCTCAAGCAGCTTGTGTGTTCCTGCTCTAGAAAATATACAGCACAGCCTGCTTCTTGCCATCAAAATCCTTAGTCCAAGCTAGCTTTCAAGTGCACAAACTAGGAGTATTTTTAAAAGTTGTTATTCGTATTTGTTTGTGATGACATAAAGGACAAAATCATGCAAATTTTGTTGAAGGATTTTTGTTTGGGGTCCTTAGTTTTTGCTTGCTTGTTTGTTTTAGTCTAAAGTCAGAAATAGAGGAAAGCAGACAAATATTTTCATAAAGATAAACACCATGCTACTCTTGCTTTTCTTTCACTTTTCATCTCTATCCCTCTATCTCCCCAGATGCCCTACTCTGATATGTTTTCAAACACTGATACCATCTCTGGGGTATCCAGGTCTGCACCTCACAAGGCATTTTTCCATTCATACCACAGCCTGAGTCTGGATGCAATCTGAAGTGAAGGGGAAGCTGTGCACCTTGGTGTCCTTGTATGTCGGAGTGAGGGAGAGAACGGTGCTAACGAGTGAGGGGAAGAACACATCTCCTTTGCTCTCTTATTAAAGCTGTCCATTACGTAATAACTTGATTTTCTGTATTATTATGCAAGACATACAGCCTTCCCTCTTCATCGTATGGTTCAGCGCTGTTGTTAGTATATGTGCTCTCTTCCCAGGTCTGCATTTTCATTTGTAAAATATAACTGTTAACTACAGAATTTCTGGTTTCAGTTTCTCGTAGGAAAGACTTTCAAATTTTGCATCAAGCAGACTTACAATGAAATACGTGAGCAATGAGCTTTCAAAAAATCTGTTCAACTCCTTCTCCTCAGTTCACACTGCACGTGGTGTTGGCTATATAAGATATGAGACGAACATCAGCAGATTTAAAAATGCAAATTAAAAGTGGGATAGGCAATCTGACAGCTTTTTTGAAATGCATTCTCTGACAGGAGGAATGAGTGATGGTAGTTTGTAGTAGTTTGGGTTCAGAGGTTTTACTTTTCTCAAAGCGATTGCTGTGATGGTATTAATGGTAGAAGGAAGAAAAGGAGTATTGCTGTTGATGAAATCCTGGTGCTATAGTAGCCTTATGCTGAAGATAAGAGAATTTGAGTGCTCTCCACCTTGAAGAAGTCACACTGACTGTTCAAGCACAAAAGCTATGTAGCATTTGATCCAGTACAGTCACAGCTGTACCTTACTGTTGTCTGCATCAGGTCTAAACCTTACAAACATCATTTCAGTCTGCAGGACATTCTGTGAGCATCCAGTCTCAATCACGTGGCTGTGCATATTTGGAACTCAGTTTTGTGTGCTAGGGAGTTCTGTGGCTATGACAAGGCAAGGAGTAAGTGGTCCAAATTACACCTAACATCTAATGGAGAGATTATGAGTTTTGTACAGTCTGACACAGAACTTTTTTCACCAAATTTGCTCAAGTGCCCATGAAGTTTTTAGTGAGATGGAGATGAGGTTGGAGTTGGTATTCTAGTCTGAGACAGCCTGTGGAGGCGGTTGGCTTTGTACTTTGTTATTCTTGTTTCACAGTAACAAATAGCTGATACACTTCCAGCTCAAAAAAGCAGGGTACTGAATTTTGACATGGAAATTGACTAACTAATAAACTAAAATACACACTCACAGCAGAGGAGTTAAACTTTGCTATTAATCCTGTGACAGTCTACGGAAATCCAGAAGGATGAATGTGATGAGATTTGTTTAATTTCTGTTGAAATAGTATTTTTTTGCCCTGTCTCTATAAGTAGAGCTTCCCAGTCAAGATTGAACACTTTCAGTCAAATGCAGACCAACAGACCTTTCTGTAATAAATGCGGTGCTTTTTCTATTATAATTCTTGCTGTACCTCAGTGCTCATTATAAAAACAAACAAACAAACAAAAAACACAAAAAACTGCTGCAATATACTAAATCTGTGATAGGATTTCCTGTCACGACAAGGTCCAACAGATTGGATTGTTACTTTCTCTCCAGTGAGTCAAGTAGTTCCTTTGTTCTAGTAGAAAAACAGATGCCTGTACATAGTAGTTACTAGATAGAATAAGTATTGTACCATTAGCCAAATTCCCTGCAGCTTCCAATTTCTCTAAAATAAAGGATACGTCTGTTACGGTTTTTGTTAAAGACTACATAAAGTCAATGGCAGGAAAGGTCCTCCTTGTTGGACTGATTTTGCTTATATTGACAGAAAAATTTCACATGATAGGCTGTGCTTTCTATTCAACCATATCACCATAGAGGAATGTCAATAAAATCACTTTGTTATGGTATTGTGTGGGCTGTCTCTTTCAAACAATTTCTTTTGTAGAGGATGTATTTCACTAGAGTGGGGGGAAATTGGCATAGGTGAAAGTGCACTGACTCGAGTTGCTCTTCCTCTGCCAGGACAAGATTTTATCCATTCATTGCATTTAGGCCTTTC